TTGTTAATCTAATGAATAATTGATTTGTTAAATCAAACGAAAAATGGTGTGTCTGATTGGTCCAGACGCTACAAGTGCCTAGCGATTAAATGGGCCCTAGAGACACTCAAGTACCACTTACTGGGGAGAAAATTTGTATTAATGACAGACCATGCCCCACTGCAGTGGATGACCTAGAATAAGGACAGCAATGGGAGAATAACTAGATGGCTTTTAAGTCTTCAGGCATTTAACTTCTCTGTTGTCCACAGGCCAGGACGATGCCATGGAAATGCTAATGCCTTCTCTCGAAAGGATGTTCTCTTCACAGATGCCATCCAACCAAGAGCCTCAGAGCAGAGAAGGGGAGTATGTGGCATAATTAGAGGGCATGTGCTAGAGGGAGGATACATTGCTCTAATATGTCTGGAACAAGATTGTGTCTTGTCAAGAACTACCACTCCCAGGTCACCTTGCAAGGAAGCTAGGGGCAAGATGGCCGCCTGTAAAGGACTACAAAGCCCAGGCTGCCTTAGAGTGTGAGGGCAGCTGCAACTATAATGAGACTGGAAGCATGGTCTGACAGGAGGAAAAAAAGAGGTGTTGATGTGGCAGAAAAAGACACACACCACTGGTGTTGGGAGAGGTAAAGAAGATGAAGTTATTTTGGTTGTGTGCTGGAGAGATTTAAGTTGTAAACATGAGACCTTCTGTTTGATTATTAAACAACACCTGCATGTTGAGGAGACAGTTGAAGCTGTGTTTATTGAAAAACTGCATAAGTTAAAGACCCGCAACCTCTCATAATGGCACAGTATATATTTAGGGAAATGTGTTAACGGAAATATAAATTGTGTCATGCGTGACTTTACAATTTGCATGATGCTATTGTGTAGCAGCTGTATGATGATGACGAATGAGTTAGACTGTCATATGGTTCCAGTGTCAAATGGTTATATAGAAACTGTTTCCACAGAAGATATAAGGGCCTATTAACCCTTGTGCGTCAATTAAAAAAAGTTACACATAGGTCCATAGTGGACAAAAATGTCCATGTCAAAAAACTGTCATAAAAATTTGAAGCTTGGGAGCACAGAGTCAAGTTTGGTCTCATTTTAAAGAAGACCCATGGCAGATTATTGTTGAAGTAAAAAAAGTTTAAAAAGTGAAACCAAAAAAAAAGTTCTAGATGTTTAGGTTTATGAAAATGATTTATGAACGATATTTTATATAAAATATCACTCTGACATCCATACCAACACACCCACACAATTATAGCTGCATTATTTATCCAATTGGCTCTATAATATGCAGAAGCAGAAAACAGGAATAAAGCGAGTATTTGCTTTACAGGTCAAACCTGAAAAAATGGCACCATCTGGTAAAAAATAGTAAAAAATTAAATTTTAAAGCCTTGCCAATATAATGAAAGCCTATCAACAAAAATTGCATAATTTTACAGTTAAATGGCACTGCGATTAAAAATAGCAGTTTTAATGGGTTTCAATGGGGACATTTTTGTCCTTAAGGTCCTGAGAGGAACAATTTTTTGTACCTAGTGCAAAACAGATTTATTAAAGGAAATGGAAGTGAAATAGTAAAATTCCAATAAAAATACACACCTGTGCCAAAATTTATGCAGTTGGCAATAACACAGGCAAAATTATCAAAAAAACAAAACTGAAAAGGACAAAAATGTCCAAAAGGTCGCACAAGGGTTAAAGGGATTTTCATGTGTATTTTGCAGCATGCTGATGATTATAAAGGAGTTATGATGAAATGTGTTTTATAACATAAGAGTAAAATACAGGAAACAAGTATTTTAAGATTTTATTGTTGTAAACAAAAGAGTACAGAACTGTGTTTTTATTAAATGAGCATCATTTGCAATGATATGAGATTGAACTAAATGATCTACTTGAGAAAGACATTACAGAGAATTGATTTTATACTGTTAATATTACAGAGAAATGTTAATAAAGACGCTGATGAGCTGCAACTGAGGAAAGCCACTAAAATTCCTTTTCCTTTTTGTTTCCCGATAACTCCACACCACACACATTTAGTAATCTGTCTACATGTTCCGCATGCCATGGGACCTGTAACACATGGGAACCTCAATTTTTTTTTATATCAACTTCAAATTTGAAACACAACTTTAGACATATGGCTTTAATTTTACAGCAATTGTACATTAAAAACTATTTTGTCAAATATTTATTTTATATAAAATAATAAAAAAAGTACAGTGCATTTTCTTTTCAGTAAATTTAAACTATAGCTTTTTTATACTTTCATTTAAAAAAAAAAAAAAGATTTAACTTCTGCAATAATCTGCTGATTTGTCTTCTTTAAAAAGAGACCAACCTTAGGTCTACCAGTGCTGCAGAAAGGCCAGTGTTAAAGTATTAATAGCCTACTTTTGACAATAATCAAAATTATTAGTTAACAAGTTACTGAATAACTGTTAACAAAGCTGCTTTCCACTTTACTACAAACATTCTTCACAAGACTAAACAGTGTCATTTAAAATACTTCTCTGAAAGTTGACCATTGGACAGAATGTTAGAAAACACATCAGTGTTCACTCTGTCAGAAGTCAGTAGTGATGCACCAATCTTGATTTTTCATGGCCGACTCTAATACCGATTTAATATTTATTTCATTTTTTTTTAAAGCAAGAGATGAGATTTATTTAAAATATGAGTATATGAACAAGATGTTTTTTGCTCTATTACAGGCCGAACTCTCTGTAGCCATTTAAAATTAGAGGCAAAAACTGCATTTTAATCACAATCTAAATAAAGATGATACATACATGAGCAGTTTCTGATTTAATTTAGATTAAATTAGATGTCATTTCAAAATCTGAAACAAAAACAGAAATGTTCTGACTTTAGCTTTGTGAAATTATACTGCATAAAACATCTGCATGAAACAGAAACAGCAGACGGGCTGAATGACAGCGCAGATTCACTCTCTGATAGGAGGTGATGCTTATGGAACAGCAGTGATAAAGCATTTCCGTGTTTACCGCTGTAAACAACGCAGCGCTGCGCTTATAAACACTACTTTAGTATGAATTATAGAGAGCCAAGATGAAAAGAAAATACCATCTAAACTTTTCAAAAAGTCAGTTCCCATCAGAGATACATTTTTATAAACCCCCATCCCTAATTCATATTTCATAATTCAATATTTCGCTCATCGTGAACAGTGAGCTGCTCTGTCTGCGACAGTATTTTCTCCTCTTTGCATTTGTCTTCAGCATCTCTGGCCTTTATTAACGTCCCATTTACAGACTTCACAATATTTCCAGACAAATGTCATTTTGGAAAATGCTTTCAATACAGTGTGTGCAAGTCTGGAACAAAGATTGGCTGAAATAAAACAAAAGAGCCAGCTGCAGATCGCACGTTTGGAGCAAAAACAGGCCGGTTCCGATTTATGGCCATTTGAACGTTTTCTAACATTAATTGTTTCGGGCCAGTGGTAAACTGTTTGTTCTTGGCTAAAGGAATACACAACTACATTTTTAAAATAACTTTCCATGACAACAACAAGATTTACCAGGACATTTTACATTTTCTATCTGTTTTCCAGGATTGGAAAACTAGTTATCAATTTTCCAGGACACGTGGGAACCCAAGGTACTCTGTGGGGCTGCTAGGTTATTCTGGGTGGTTGCTATGGTACTCAGGATTCATTCATGTTCCTTAGGTTAGGGTTACACACTAATTTTCTGTCATGGTCTATGGGCCCCCTAAAGTAGCCTTGGCTACCCTCTGTAAAAACTATAGTTCTGCCACTGCACAAGTGCATATGCTCACACTATGTATGCTTATATATTTCATTGGAACGTTAAAATATGTTGTTTCTCATTTTATGGTCAAACTCATTGCCTTCTTTATTTTGGCCTCACGGATAAAAGGTTTGAGGCTATTTGCCTGTTGATAGCCCTGGCTCACACTGGCGGTGGAAATTCAGCTATTGTCTTCTCTTAAGTTCATGCAAAAAACATATTTTACTACTTACATTATATACCCAAGGGTGTACTCACACTAGGTGATCTGAACAGTGCCTGAGCATATTTGACACCCAAAGACTGGTTTGTTTGTCTAGTGTGATCGCTCCGTACCACGTCCGTGTGCAGTTCGTTTAGCCGTCCCTGGCTCACTTGGAAGAGGTGGGCCAGAGCACAGTTCAGTTGGGCTCGAGTGCAGTACGCATGTAGTGTGATCGCTTACCAACAGCTACTATTTTGTGAGCGCTACTGTCATCATGACGACCGCAAACATCTTCTATTACGAGTACATAACACTTTTCAATTAATTTAATTGTATCAAGTATATTTCGGTTTATAAGAGGTCTGGTTCTCAACTTATTGATGAACAGGAATTGTAGTTTGCGAGTAAAGCTGCAAATTATTTCAGTAATGTCAGCTACCTCCATAATAATCCTGATACATGCAAGTGAAAATCACTGCACGGCATAAATTACAAATTTATTAGACAGTCTGTTAGCAAAAGTGGTTTTCTCCGTTATCTCGTACATGATGTAAGCCCAGAATGTTTAGTGCAAGTGTGAGTGCAGGCCAGCAGGGGAGTGGGGTAATCACGCTCGGGCTCGGTTCAAGGCAACTGTACCTAGTGTGAGTAGTACACCCCAAGTTACATCAGACATAATTTTGAACCTTGTGTATGTTTGCTTAATATAGGAATTAATAATGCAGACCACACAAAATGTTTTGTGAATAGGAACAATGAAATATTCCACTGAAATATTCACTTAAGATGTAGAATTTTAGAGGAACTCTGATAGCGTGCTACAGGAACAGTTTACTGCTTACTACTTTAATGTTGAGCAAGCAAGCTCATTGGCTGCAGAAGCAGTAGAGGCTCATCAGCTTGTGTCATGTGTTAAACAATGTGATTGCTAGCAGATTGCATTTAGGACCTATCATCCAGCACCATTCATGTAAGAACTAGATACAGAAACACATCAAATGAATACAAGGGAAGTGATTTGCATAATACTTTATTTACTTAGGATTGAGCTCATAGTGGTGTTTGACAAACACAGGGCTATTTCAAACACCTATTCTAAATTATCTTCTGCACACATCCTTACATGGGACGCTCTCTGGGACGAGTGACAAACTGCCACCACAGGGGTGGGAGGTCTCCGTCCTTGCGGGCCGGGGGCAGGGCCTCAGATTTAGGGCCATCAGCAGGGGTTTCAATCTGCAGCTGCTGGACCTTAAAAAAAAAAAAAAAAAAAAAATAGAAGATCATTAAGATTTATTTTATCATTCACAAATTAGCCTGATTAACCAGTGCCAATTTACTGGCTGAAATCGGACCGCTCTGCCAATGAGCTGTATTTCTACTTTCGTACTTAATATGAAAATCAATTTATATATAAAATTATATTCAGTCAGATTAATTTGTATATACAGTGGGTACGGAAAGTATTCAGACCCCCTTTTACGTAATTATATTCAGTGTTGTAAATCTGAGCGCTACAAATAATATGAAGTTCACGCATTAACAGAACACAGAATATAGACTAAAGATCTTTTTAAGAAGCCATATTAGTATCGATTATAAATGAGAATTGTTAAAGATATTGTTAATGTCCACACAGCTGACAGCTGTAGCAAATTAGCTCAAAGGAGGAATATTTATTATTAATTATAACTGGTTATAATTAATTATAAATATTTAGATTAGATCTCAGAATTAAAATAGTAGAATCAATATCACAATTATTTAATCTGTTCGTCCATCGACAGTATAATCATTTATCAATTCTAGGAAAGATCATCTCCCTGGCCAAGAAAGAACAGCTTTCCTACTTTATACAGTACTAGCAGTAACTTAGCATGTAGCAAGATCAACCTTAAGGGACTTTGAATTGTGAGCAACACACACAGACAATCGCTTGTGAAAATAAGGAATTTAATAAATGAAACTACAGCTAACATACAACTAAACTAAGCAAAACATACATACAGAAAAAAGGAAAGTAAAGAAAGAGAGAGAGAAACAAAAGAATGGCAGTATCTAACATCAATTAACCACGACCTAATGAGAATCATCAGAGAATCAAAATCACCTTAAAAAAAAGGGGCACAAACTTAGAGACGCATCTAAATAGTTGGAAACGGTTACTTGCACTGGCTTTGCTGAGCAAGAGTCTGGATGCAGTAGACAATGGAGGTTCTTGATGAGTTTGTTAGGAATGAGCTGGAGGCTTTCGCCGGGTTCTTCTGAAGATCGGAGAGTCCACAGCAAATTGACAAAGTTACTTGATGATAAAAACTGCCAGAAGGTCAGACTCTAGGGTGATGAGTCTTGGAGAGGGTCTGTCTCAAAGGTTTTGAGCAATGATTGTTTTGGGTTAGGGACTTTTAAAGGGGTCATATGATGCTGCTAAAAAGAACATTATTTTGTGTATTTGGTGTAATGATTATGCGGTTTAAAGTAAAAAAAAACACATTATTTTCCACATACTGTACATTTTTGTTTCTCCTCTATGCCCCGCCTTTTTGAAACGCGTCGATTTTTACAAAGCTCATCGGTCTGAAAAGCGAGGTATGCTGTCTTTTTACACATTGCGTTGCATGGCGCCGCGTAAACATAAAACCCTGTCTGCATTCTCTCGCGCACTCTCGCCCTCTCTCGGACGCACTCGGTCTCTCTCGCGCACTCTCTGTCCCTCTCGCGCACATTTTCGGTCTCTCTCGCACATCTCGCTCTCTCTCGGACACACTCGGCCTCTCTCGCGAACTGTCGCTCTCTCTCTCTCCGCGTTCGCTTCACTTTTGTCCAGCCCGATGCCTCATAGGTGAAAGCCGATCTGGCGATCCACAGCACTAAGTTGATGTATTTCCTCAGCGACCAGCACAGATCAGCTCCAGGCATGACGAAGCAGATATCGTCCTCTTTTGGAAGACCAAACAAAGTAGTTTCGCTTTCACAACGAAGCACATGGATTTGAGACTTTAGTCTTTGCAACTTTACAGATCTTCTTTATGCACCAAGAGCTTGTAACACTCCAAAGAGAAAGGAAAAATTGAAATCGCATCATATGACCCCTTTAATGGTTTCCCAGTCACACCCATCTTTTGCAGACTGACCAATGTAGAGGTGTGAATTTTGAGCGTGAAGAGGTTCCTTTGTTTCACTTAACACCTTATTTGCATGGATTATGGTGGTCTAGAGGTTTGTCCAATATTAAGTCAAAATATGGTAAAAAGAGTATGGAGCAAGTAATGGTGACATACTATACACTAGGGCTGTCAAAATGGCTGAAAAACTAAATTCGAATTTTGTACTTAAATATTATCAAAATTAGAATTATATTCGAATTTAAAATGCATAATTTCAGTTAGGGTGAAGAAAAGTTTTGGCTTCTCTCCTGAGACCACAAGAGGGCGCATCATTCAAAGCATAATGTTTAAAATGCATAAAAGTGCATAATGTTTAAAATAATGTTTATAAACCAATTATAATTAAGTTGCTTAAACAACTATAAACAAAACAGCATCATGTATGTATGCATAGTTTAATACAAAGGGCGGAAAGCCAATCACACACAGAGTACATTTTTTATTTAAAAAACATGAGATGCAGTGGGATGGGGAAAAACCCGCCATAAAGTAACTGGACAGGCTAACAAAAACATTATAATGCAACGACACTTACATCGTCATCGCATCTCGTGCGCCACTGATAAGGCTGCCTCCTTAACGCACACCTAAAATGTGGATTTTAATTTTAAATTCGACGAATATTTTAAATTCGAATTTTTTTTTGACAGTCCTACTATACACCATTAATCTGGGAATCAGAAGACAGTCATTTTGATACCCAACATGCCAGGGTTTGGAAAACATTAAGGCAGTGATACATTCATACATCTAGATCCAAGTATTTGGAGCTTTACTACATTACTACAGAGTTATAACTAAGCTACTGTAACCTAGAAACATGCATACAACAGGAATACACTATATATACTTTGGAACAGTTTGATTGTGGATAGATGGAGCCAATGTCCTGTCCTATGTGTATTGTGGACTCAAGACGTCTGTGCCACATGACTGGTGGCCAAATGGTTATGGGGAATCAGTCCTTCCTCCCCACTGGAATCTCTTTGACGCTCAAAGAGAAAGCAGATGACTGCCCTTGTTAGCGTCGGTGAAGATAGCAGAGGTGATAATGCCCTTTAAACCAGAGGTGGATGTTAGACATGCATCTGTAATTTAGTTATAACAAGGGAGGAGGGAAAGTTTACGATGCCTAAAACCTGATCGAACATCTTGATTGCATCCAAATGTTACACAGCTTTACCTGTTGTAGTTTTTTCAAGTTGTGCACGAAATGGACACTGCTTTTCTGCACTTTTATTTTGTACAGTTTTCCACCTCTCTCGTGCTGCACAACTGGAGCTGCTTTTAGCAGGTATTCGGCAGAGATGAGGACTGTTTTTCCACTAAAACTTTGATGCACATTGTCTCCGTTTATTACGTCAACATAACAGAAGATGTGATCTCAAAACAATCAGGAAAAAAAGGCATTACATGCAAATTTTTAAGTCGTAACATACATTTTAGTTTATTTATTTCATTTATTTAGGCGATCTCAGAAAAATTAATATTTTTGGTCGCAAATTTGACCGTTTCAGTCGCAGTCTGGAGCCCTGATGGATTTCCCTGATGGCAGCCATATCACCCTGTAGCCCAAGACTGGTTGCCCACTGAAGCTAAGCAGGGCTGAGCCTGGTCAGTACCTGGATGGGAGACCTCCTGGGAAAACTAGGTTGCTGCTGGAAGAGGTGTTAGTGAGGCCAGCAGGGGGTGCTCACCCTGTGGTCTGTGTGGGTCCTAACGCCCCAGTATAGTGACGGGGACACTATACTGTCAACAAGCACCGTCCTTCGGATGAGACGTTAAACCGAGGTCCTGACTCTCTGTGGTCATTAAAAATCCCAGGATGTCTTTCGAAAAGAGTAGAGGTGTGACCTCGGCATCCTGGCCAAATTTGCCCATTGGCCTCCGACCATCATGGCCTCCTAACAATCCCCATATCTGCTGATTGGCTTCATCACTCTGTCTCCTCTCCACCAGTAAGCTGGTGTGTGGTGGGCGTTCTGGCGCACTATGGCTGCCGTCGCATCATCCAGGTGGATGCTGCACACTGGTGGTGGATGAGGAGATACCCCCTGACAATGTAAAGCGCTTTGAGTGCCTAGAAAAGCGCTATATAAATGTAATGAATTATTATTATTATTATTATTTCATATACTTCATTGTTTGAACATGTATCCCACTCCTCTTGCCGCTTATTTAATATATAATAATTGATTATAGGTTTAATTTCTGATGGAGGAATTTGACGCTCTCCAACTTCCAAATGTATAGCCTCTTTTGCAGCCTCATTTCCTGAAAGCCCAACATGGCCTGGAACCCAGCAAAAGATGACGCTAAGGAACTGATTCTGTAAATGGTCTACTTTGGTTAAAGGGGAGGTCTAATGCTATTTCATGCATTCTGAGTTATTTACACTGTTAAAGAGTTGGATTCTCATGCTAAACATGGCCACAAAAAACTATTTGGACATATGACGGAGTATTTCTGTGCGAAATACACTCCTTCAGGGTTTGTATAGGTTTCAGAATGTTTTTTCATTATGGCCCTTCATGACGTCATGAAGGATGGAATTCCTTGCATGGGCACTTCTGGAAGAGTGCACGCGCACAGCAACCAGAGCGAGAGCAAGAGCACGCCCATCGATGTGCTTCATTCGGGTTACGGAAGTCATCGGCAGCGCTGCACAGGACTTGCTCGAGAAGAATGTCTCCAAAGAAGTGTGTTTTTGGATGTGAGGGAAACAGCAGAGGTTTATTAATGGTTTGAAATGCAGAAAGACACACCTGCACAAAAACTGCCCACACCTCCCAACGACCAGGCGCTCTTTTCTGTCTCCAGCCGACGTAAGGAAGACCCTATTTAGGATTAACCCACGCAAGGCTGCGGGTCCCAACAACATACCTGGCCGTGTATTAAGAGACTGTGCTGCACAGCTGACAGATGTCCTAACAGATATCTTCAACACCTTGCTGAGCCAGTCAATCATCCCCACATGTCTCAAATCCACTACAATCATACCGGTACCAAAGAAATCACCTGTGTCCTGTCTAAATGATTACTGTCCCATAGTACTGACTCCAATCATGATGAAGTGCTTTGAGA